TAAAATTAGTCCTTCAGACCCCGGCGTTGCTATTTTTTTCGCAACGGCCGTGTTCGCCCAGTTTCGGGCCCCGGGACCATCAAGGATCGTTGCGGCTCGAGAGTGGCGCAGAAAGGTGGGGTCCAGGGCTCCCAGTCGTGTTGCGATGTCGCATGTTCTTTGTTTGCAGCTTCGGATCGGAGGGCTCCGACGATCCGTTACGGCTCGATGCTTGCAGGGCGTTGTTGCGCATCATGGCGCGGCCGATCCGATTTGGCCCCGACCTAGTACCAATGCAGCCCGATCCGACGCTCGCGCCGACGAAGTCCGATCTCCCGGACCGATACGGGCTGGGGCAAGGCGCAGAAGGGGGGCAGCCAGAGAGACCCGGAGCAAAGGCGTCGCAGGCACCGCAGAGACAGTGGGGGAGGGGCGGCAAGAGGTCAGTTAGGACCACAGCCGACAGTTTCAGCGTCGTCTTGTATAATACATTTGCGTTTGTATGGTGAGTTCCAGAAGGGCCTCGCCTTTAGAGCGTAGGCCAGCGGAGGTGAAACGGGGGCGGCTCAATGGACGGAAGCCGGCGAACTGCGGCGGAACTACAGACGAGGCGTCAACATGTTTGGGCTCAAGTTTTCCAGGGCCGGCCATGTGTGTGTGTGTGTGTGTCGGAGCCGCTCACCTCCCCTGCTCCCCCCCATCCCTCCCCCGCGCCTTTCCCTGCCTCCCCTCGCGCGCCGCCATGGCGCCGTTCGCTGCCGCTCCTGGCGTGCAGCCCCCCCTGGAGGCCGAGCCGGTGGAAACTGCGCTAGAGCGCATCACCCCCGCCTGACACCCAGCGGGTGCAGCCTCTTGCAGTTGGCAGTCTGAAGCCTGGACCCCATTCTCGTTTCACTTGCGCTACATCGTCGTCTCTTACCTGGACGTCGGCACTGTTTACGACTTGCTCTACCGCGTGCCGAGCATCGGCAGCGCCCGTGGATGCACCGACGCCGCGGCCTGGCTGCTGCCACGGCCCCCGCTGCCGCTGCTGGCCGCGCCAGCGCGCTCAGGGTGGAATTATTCCACGTCTGCGTATCCTCCGCCGCCTCTTGTCCTCTGCGGCCGCCTTGTCTGTCTCGTTTCCCTTTCTTGCATGCCGGCCAATTTGCCATTCGGTTGCCCCGAGTCGCCACACGCTGGTGCGGACCGCCTCCGCCTCGCTGCTGACGACAAAGCAGGAGGAAACAAATGTCGGAGCGGTGGGGTTCCCCATCACGCCAAGCCGCGTCGCCGCACATTTGTCAGAGTTGCGCCCGCAGCAAACTTGCGTCTTGGTCTTGGTCTGGAGTCGTCGGCCCGAAGGTATCAGGTCGGACGATAGAGGAAAATGGCGAAAGCGGTGATTACGAAATCTGCTTCATGCATCTGGTCTCGGCCCCGCTGCATGCCGCTATCCTGCATTGGCAGGCGCCGGGAGTATCAGTTGCGTGGGTTGATTCGCTAACCCCCATTTGCTAACCTCATCTTTCGTCCGACCCGAGAGTAGCCCCTCGCGGTGTTTGCCGCGTGCGTTTGCGGCGGTGCGGGAATGGGCAATCCTTTCGTCGGCGCTTGACCACGCCACCACAGCGGAGGATGTCGCCCTCATGAGCGAGGCCGAGAAGCGGGATGCCATCGTCCAGCAGCTGGTCGACAGGCGCCCCCGTGCACGCGAGGGCGCAGAGCAATGGGAGTCTATGTTGCAAGTTTTCGCATGTGTTCGCCTTCGCGGTGTGCGCCAAATGTTGCGCGTACTTGACGGAAGACCTAGGGAAGAAGCACGACGAGCATGACCAAAATGTCGAAAGATTGTGTCGACGTCGATTTTGGTCACGGTCCATGGCGGCCGTCACCGATTCGTCCGAAAAATTTAGAGCCCATATTCCGGATCATGGCCAGTTGAGACAACGGCGGCTCTCCCGCCAGGCTCACATCTTTTCGAATTCGGTTTTCAGACCCCTCCCAGGATCCATCCTGACCCGTTTGGCGAGGTGGACCCTGGCGACGAGAAGCGTCCAGGCGGCCACAGAACGTCGGAGAGGGCCGCCGTTGTCTCGACGGGCCCTCCTCCGAGCACAGCATCCCGCGCGCCGAGCTCTTTGGCTCGAGCTGCTCGGCTCGGAGCTCCCGACGGGTGCGGACGCGCGCCGGCCTCTTAGGATCAGCCTGCGTCTAGGCAGGCTGTGCGCAGGCCGCCACCCACCCTGGCCGGCAGGAGGAGGAAGAGGAGGAGGAGGAGGAGGAGGAGGAGGAGTGAGAGGAGGAGGAGGAGGAGGAGGAGGAGGAGGAGGAGGAGGAAAAGGTGGAGGAGGAGGAGGAGGAGGAGGAGGAGGAGGGGAGGAGGGGGAAAAAGAGGAGGAGGAGGAGGAGGAGGAGAGCCAGAGTAAAGCCAGGATGCATCAGCGATGCTGCAAGACACTCACCCGTCCACAGCCCATTCCCCACGAATCCGTATACCAGTGTTCCTTGCTAGTGCGGGAAGCGCCCCCGTTGATTGAGGAGCGCCCAGTGGGCATGCCACCCAGGCAGGACACTGCTTTCTGTTGAGTTGCACCTTCCATCCTTCTAGCTCCTAGTTTTAAGTCGTGCCTGTCCCTCTACAGGGGGTAGATTTAAAAACAGTCAAAAAATAGTATAGGGGCGATGTTTGACTATGTTTGAATTTGTTTTGAATATTTGTTGCGTATGTTTAAGTTTTCCTCATAAGTCGTCATGTAGGGGGACATGCCCGACCTAACTCTAGCTGTAAGGAGCGCAAATTGGTAGGATGATAACGTTCCTGGAGATGTACAACGATATCCCTCCCCATTTGGAAAGTGATCTGCCCTCCGTCCGTGTATGTGTTGCACACATTTGAGTTTCGGGTCTCAGAACACACGGGAGTCTCGAACGATAGCCGTAGTTTGAAAACGTACCGGCCTCCATCCTCGTAATCGTTGAGAATATGTCAAACGGATGTACGCGGTGTTTGCGAGCCGCATCTTGAAAACCACCCGCCTTCCACCTTGGTAGTTGATGTAGGTTCTCAGGGCGAGTACGCGCGGCGCTCAGGCGAGATCCGCATTTTGAGAACGACCAGCTCTCCATCCGTGTGATTGTTAGAGCTTGTTTAGATTCAGGGTAGTAAGTTGCAAGCAAGGCTCAAGCGAGACGCCTGGCGGGCCTGCGAACACGTCTGTCGATACGACTAGGGGGAGCCACTTATGAGGAGACGGAATGGTAGAGGACGAGAAAGAGGACGAGGAGAGGAGGAGGAGGAGGAGGAGGAAGAGGAGGATCCTTGGAACCCTCGTTGCGCCTTTGGGTATGTGCGAGGAGGAGGAAGAGGAGGAGGAGGAAAAGGAGGAGGAGGAGGAGGAGGAGGAGGGAGGAGGAGGAGGAGGAGGGAGGAGGAGAAGGACGGGGAGGAGTACGAGGAGGAAGAGGAGGACTTGTCAGAAGTCGATTGGCCTGTCGGTACCAGCGTCCAGTGGGGGGAGCAGGCAACACGCGTCGATTACCCTCCTGCAACACGGTGGCTGCTAGCCCCCACTGTGAGATTGTGAGGGAGGTTTCCTGCATCGTCCCTGACGGTTGGTAGATCGAGTTTCACCTCCGCATTGTGAGGGTGCGTTTGCAGGCACAACCGATCCATGGCTTGAGCTTGGTTTCGGCCTCCGTGAGTCGGACCTAGCCTCTGCTGCGCCCAACGGGGAAGACATTGATCTGCCTGACGTGCACTGGTTCCCGGAACCCTGTTCACCAATCTTCGCTTTGGGGGCAAGTCTTGTTTCTGTTGGCTTCCGTTGTCACCCCCCCCCTGGGTGGAGTTCAGACCCAGTGGAGGGGGCAGGGGGAGGGGTAAACCACGGGAAGACGAAGGGGCCCTGGAAGCGGGAAGAAAAACAACTCGTTGCACCACATCCGCCTAGAGGGCTGGTAGGATCTCGTCGCCCAGCACCGCAGGCTTCGGAGATCTCCCATTCCCCCTTCTCTTCCTCGTCGTTTTCCTCCTTCTGCCTCGGCTGCAGTACGGTCGGGAACTTTTGGTCAGCGTGTCGCTCCGCGGGTTCTGGCACACCACGCTTCGGTGCGACACGCCAGTCCCAAGGCTTCAACGCCACGAGCCGTTCCGAGCCTCCTGCCACGCGGAGCGGGGCGACACGCTATCCAGTCGCAGGGCATAGTCGACGGGGCCGCCGCGGCGACACGCTAAGCAAATGTTCCCGACCGAGTGACCCTTCGCCGAAGTGACCTCTGGTGCACGGCCTGTGGAGGGCGTGAGGGCACCGAGCCCGCGCACGCCAGCCGCTGCTGCCGCACCGCGTGCGGCGACCAGGCAAACCTCGTGCCAAAGGTCATCCTTGTCCAAGGGCAACCTTGCGTGCAGCCAGCTGCTGCTGCTGCTGCTGACGCTCCTCCTCCTCCTCCTCCTCCTCCTCAGCATCATCATCATCATCATCATCATCATCATCATCATCATCCTCATCCTCATCCTCATCCTCGCCATCGGCATCACCATCATCGTCATCGTTATCGGCATCATCATCAGCAGCAGCATCATCAGCATCAGCATCATTATCAATATCATCAGCAGCATCATCATCATCAACAACATCATCAACAACATCATCATCGTCGTCGTTGTCGTCATCATCATCATCATCATCATCATCATCATCATCATCATCATCATCATCACCATGAGCAGTATCATCGTCATCATCGTCGTCATCATCGTCATCATCATCACCAGGAGCAGTATCATCATCACCACCACCATCATCCCATCACCATCATGTAATCAGCAGCAGAATCAGCATCAGCTTCCGCAACAACAGCAACAGCAACGACAACAGCAGCAACAACAACCACAGTAGCATCACCAGCATCATCATCAGCATCAGCGTGATCATCATCACTATCACAATCGTCATCACCATCGTCATCATCGTTCTATCTCTGCCCCTCTGCCCTGCCACTCTGCCTGCACCGCTTGCCGTGTCGTGTCCCGCAAGGCGATGTACCGTTTCATGAACGTCAGTGGCCAGGGCCAGACTGAAAGGTCAGAGAATTACCACAGGTTCCAGACGGGGGGAGGGTTGTCTTTTCGCTATCTCGCTGTGCCTCGCTGTGCACTGCTGTGTCTCGTTGTGCCTCTCTGAGTTTCGCTGTGTATCGCTGCGTTTTCGACGTGTCGCGCTGTGCTTCGCTGCGTCTTTCTGTGGGCGACGTTCACCATGCCGTCGATTGTCAATTCGGCTTCCAGCGGAGAGGACGGGCAGAGGAGGAGAGGAGTAATGAAACCAGAGGGGGCGGCAAGGACATGCTGGACTGCAGTTCCCAGGCGGGCGTGTCTATGATCTGCGTGGGCATGCACTCGCACGCGTGATTGCACAGTTGACAGCCAGAGCCACCAGCTGCCCGCCCGGAGCACGGCTGCCCGACTGGTGCGCGCCGTGGGTACCACATCGCCGAAGCGCTCGGGATGCCCCGACAGCGCCGAGACACTGCATCGCGAGATGGTTGGGCAGCAGAAGAACCCGGATCGGAAGCTCAGCATTCGTGCCGTGTCGCTTTGCTATGTGGGCGGGCACGGGCACGGCGGAAAGCATTGCCGCGGGTGCATTCACAGGCCGGTCGTTGTTCGCGCGTGCGGTCGGGAACGTTTGCTCAGCGTGTCGCACCGCAGGCTCTGGCCTACCACGCTTCGGCGCCATACGCTAGCCACGTCCTGGCCCCCCGCGGAGCGGAGCAACACGCTATCCGTTTGCAGGGCCTGCCGTGTCGCCTGAGCCGCCGCCGCGCCATGCTAAGCACAAGCTACTGACCGTAGGAGCACCTAGACTCCCAGGTCCCACTCCGCTTTCGGCGCCCTCTCTCCTCAACGGCCGAAGGGGCCCTGGCCTGCCTCTCTTGCTCGGGGAGCGGGCCGGGGGCCAAATGTCTGGTTTAGCTACCTCTTCCGAACAGCTTGCGCACACAAATTCTGAAGATTTCTGTTGAGCGCCGCCGGATGGACCCTGCAGGTTCCAGGGACAGACCATCGTGGTGGACCTCGCGGATGTCAACGGCGAGACCGAGGATTTCCCCGGCCGCCACTGGCTCGAGGGCATCACGAGGGACAACAAGCCCGTCGGGTGGCCGCCGAGGAATGAGGAGAGGGGGGCGGGGCAGGGAGCAATGCCTCGGACCTGGGCGGCGCAGCACAAAATGTGCCGGCCGGTGTTTCCTCGTGCTCGGCCTCTGGAGCCCGCTTCCCGGCCCCAGGCCCGTCAGAAAAGGACTCCAGAGGAAAAGCCGACCTTGAGGAAGGGGTCGAACCCATGGATGCCCGTGTTACAAAAAGATCGCCGTTGGATGGGAAGGGTCGAGGTTCGAGGGTCGAGGACTGCGGTTTTTGGGTGTGCTGGTGCTTTCTGGAGGCCGCTGGGGGCATCCAGAGTCCTTCGGGGACGAGCGGGCTCGGCGGGGTGCAAGGCTTCTGCTTCGGGTCCTCGTCTGGGGCGGGCGCTGGGGACGGAAGAAGACAGGGGCAGGGATGGGAGGAAGGCAGGGAGGGAGAGGGACAGGAAGGCGAGGACGGGGAGGAAGGCACGGAGGAATGCCGGAAGGGAGGCGGGGAGGGAGAGGAAGGCCGGGGGGAGAGGCGAGGAAGGCAGGAAGGGGGACAGGCTGGCGAGGGAGCGGGAGAGGGAGCTGGGGATGCAGGAGGACGGCCTCGGGCCCGCTCGCTGGCGGCTGGCGGCTGGCGGCCAGGACCGGCCGGGCAGGGGCCCGTTGGCCATCCCGCGCAGAAGGGCGGGCTCCGAGTGGGCGGTCGCTCTCCGTCAATGCTCCACCGATTGGTTTCGGCCGTGGAAGGGGCGCTGGCTGGCGCATGGTCGACGTCGTACCGTCTCCACGTTTAACCTGAACGGCGCCCTTGCATCTACGGGTGCCACGCGAAGCACGCAACCCACAGCATCTCGCACTACCTCATTTGCCCGAGGCAGTGGCACGCGCTGGCGTGCCCCAGGGGCCGCCTCTCGAACTGCCTCTTGGCCCGCCTCGGGCTGCACGACAGCTGCCACTCCGTTGACCCGAGCGACGAGAACTACGTCTCCCACGCGATGGTCCGCTTGGCAGTCGCGTACCGCATGTACCAAACGTACAAGGACCTCCAGGCCTCCTACGACGATGTGCATGCGTTCGAGGCTGCGAGTTACTCGCATCTGAATGAAGCACGTGCCGCCGCGCGTTTGGCCCCTCGGCTCGGCGCCTCGCCGCACGGAGGCCGAGGCGCGGGCCTGCCGCCCGCTGCTGCTCAGCCTTCCCCGCCCACCGAAAACTACGACCTGTGCGCGCCACCCGTGCCGCCCGAGCCTGCGAGTGACCTCCACGGTCAGCGTGGAGGTCGCTAGACGAACTCCGTCGCGCCTCAAGCTCTGCGTTTGCTCCTCATCCTCCTCATCATCTTCATCATCACCATCACCATCATCATCATCACCATCATCATCAGCAGCATCATCATCACCATCCTCATCCTCATCCTCATCCTCATCCTCATCCTCATCCTCATCCTCATCCTCATCCTACTCCTCCGCCTCCTCCTTCTACTCCTCCTTCTCCTCCCCGTCCTCCTCCTCCTCCTCCTCCTCCTCCTCCTCCTCTTCCTACTCCTCCTCCTCCTCCACCTCCTTATCCTCCTTCTCTTCCTCCTTCTCAACTTTCTTCTCCTTCTCCGCCTCCTCTTCCTTCACCTCCCTCCTCTTCCTCCTCCTCCTCTTCCTCCTCCTCCCTTTCCTTCTCCCCCTCCTCCTCTTCCTCCTCCTCCTCCACCTCCTCCTTATCCTCCTCCTCCCTTTCCTGCTTCTCCCCCTCCAGGGCTCCACTCCGGTTGTGACGCGTCGCAGCACGGACACTTGGCTTGATGCAAGGCGGCGCAGTGTTTCGTGCCGTTGCGCGGCGGAGCGCCGTGAGCGGCGCAGGGCAATCGATTGCCCGCCCGTCAGCCCGCCGTCTTTGCGCTTCGAGTCGGGGATCCCCAAACGGACCGGTGACCACACCGTGTGGTGAGTCAGCGAGGATTCGGGTTGGCCGCACGGCTTGGGGTCTTGGGTCGTTATCCGAGGATCTCTCTCTCTCTCTCTGGCGACTAGGGCCTCCGAGGTCCCAAAACCCTGCGGTGACGGACCGTGCGGTGAGGTCTCTTGAGATTTCGAGGTCGCTACACGGTCTTTTGCCGCACCGCGTTGGGACCCCAATTCGATGCGCGCGGAGACCCGACGAAGGATTCACTGTCAGTCCGCCGCAGCCGCTACCTCAGCTCCCGTTTCCCGAGCAAAAAGACCAATACGGGAGCTGTTGGGGAGTGTTCACAACGATCGTCCCTTTGTGGCTCACCCTGGTGGGCTGGTTTCCGCGAGTCCCGTTAACGCTAGGGTAGAAGCATACACCCACGCTGCAGTACCAAATCAGAGTTGCTCTTCGCGTTGGCCATGTGACCCACCGTGCACGTCAAGATTATCCGCTTCCGAAATGGTTCAGTCCCGTCGGCCTCGGCGGCGGAGCTGGGGAATAGGACGAGGAAATCACAGTGGATATAGGAGGGAAGGAGATAGTGAGAGGCGCAGAAGGAGGCCGAGATGGAGAAGTGGGGGCAGGGCGGAATTAGTGGAAAGATGGACGTGGATAAGGAAAAGTCGAGGGAATCACGTAGTTGCGACGATCATCAAGAAGCCTCCCTTCGTTGGCCTCTCAGACACTGGGTTGCACGTGCAAGTTTGGCCCGGCATTGGATCGAGATGTTGTCGTAAAGCTGGTCCACGCATAGGTCGTCGGCTGCCCGCATCCCTCTCCCGTCCCCCCTTCCCCCCATTCCAGCAGTTGCGCTGGGAGGAAACAAAGTTCGTCAATCGAGGGACGCCTCCAGCGAGCCACCACCGCCCCCTGCCTGATAGAGATGCTCGTGTGGTAAAAATTCTGGCCGGAAGTCCAGCCGACCCCAGTCGTTGGGGAAACCATGGGGGAACATCGGGGAAGGGCCCCAGAAGGCCGCGCGGGAACTGGTTTGGGGCTTCTTTGGGGCGTCCTGAGGCTCTCTGGGACCGTCGTGTGGATCTTCTGGCCCGTCTTGAGACGCTCTTGGGCCGTCTGGCTTCGTCGAAGACCGTCCTGGGGGCCTCCTGGGCCATGTAGGGCCGACTCCGGACTGTCTGGGAGGCTTCTTGGGCCATCTTGGGGCCTTTGGGGGTCGTTTGGGGGACCTTTTCGGCCGTCTCGAGGTGATATGGGGGGCATTTTGGGAGCTCTAAAGACCGAACAGGAGGTAATCGAAAAACTAGTGAGAAACCGCTGGGGAATATCATTTGTGCATCTTCAGGCCCTCCTAGGGGACCTTTTGGAGCGGTCAGGCGTCTTGTGGGCCTCGAGGGCCGTCTCGAGGCCATCCTGGGGCACATTGAGACCATCTGGGTCGCTGTTGGAGACCCCTTGGGCTATCTTGGAGGCCACTTGGGCCATCTCGAGCCGATGTGATGGCGACTGGGGCACCCTTGGAGAAATCCTGGGCATCCTTCGGAATCCTTGTTCTCTGCGCCCCAGCAGGGCAGACCGAAGACCCCGATCGGAAGGGCCATGAAGTTTCCAATGTTCAGCGCGTCAACACCCCTCCTTGTGCTACGCGGGCGGCGGACTCAGCGGCCGTCGGCCCATCTCGCCATCGCGCCTGGGTCGTCAACCGGAGGCCTCCGGGAGGCATTTTGGAGTCGCGTCGGAGGCATCTTGGTGGCCTCTCGGAGGCTCCGTGTGGGCGTCTCGGGTGCGTACTCGATGCTTCTTCGAACCTCTAGGGACCTCTTGGCGGCTCTTGGGGGCCTGGAGGCGGTCTAGGGGGTTCATCTTGGGACTGAGGGCTCCAGCTGTCGGTCTTGTGTGCCGCTGCGGGGCGATATCACAGGGCTATTGGGCCGTCCTGGGTCTTCCTCAAACCGAAACGGGAGCAAGCGAGAATCATACACAAGTATATGGCTGTTCAATGATTTGGGCCTCTTGGGCCAGCTCCCGGGGCCTCCAAGACGGCCCAAGAGCCCAAGAGGCCCCAAAGAGAGCGCCAGCACGAGCCCATGAGATATTTTCTAGAAAATTCACAGGTTTAGACTTCCAGCCATGTTCCCGAGGGCTCTGACAAAATCACGCGGCAATTCCTGGGAGCGCGCGAGCGCGCGAGAAGGCACAAGAGCGGTCAGAACACAGCGCGGTTTGGGCCCTTTTTGTTAAGAGCATGGTCAGTTTTCAATCCGGAGAGCTCGAAGGGGCCTAAGGATATCCCAACTAGTGCCTACGACACGGAGGCGGGCGATCGAGGGTAGATGGATGCAGGACGGATAGGTCAGTGGGGAGAGAAAGGAGATGTAATTCACGCTGCCAGGTGGGACCTGGAGTGGCAGCCAGACCGGACGAAGGACGCGGACGGGATCTATCTCTGCAGGTTGGTGACAGTATACAAATGTACACTTGTGAGCAAGAGCGATTGTTGGGAGGCGAACCACACATCTGCAGCAGCAGAGCAGGATTCTAGTTCGCTACGTTCGTCTGAGCGGGTTGCACATTCAGGTTTTGCGGGCGTCGGTGGCGTCATTGAGCGAGCGAAGGGCATGCGTTGCTCGTGGACCAATGCGTACCCGAGCATGTGGCGAAAAGGCCTTGTCTAGACGTGTTTCCCCTGCGGGCTGTAGAAAAGTGTAATTCGAAATTCGAGAAGCGATTTGAGAATCGGGCTGCGATCATCGATCCCACGGCATGTGCGACCCTCACCTGTTCAGATGCGCCAAGTGCTCGCTGCATTTCAGAGTAGACTCCCGGGCTCCTGAGCAGACCCGCGTGGCGCGGGGCGGGAAGCATTGGCGGCCTTGACCAGATCAGGACAAGGCTCAGGATCAGGCCGTGGATCAGCCTGGGGCGAGGGGGTGCGTCTCCAAGAACTGACCTTTTGCCCTCGGCGGAAGAAGCTGGCGGAAGGGCCGAAGACGCGGGTGGGAGCAAATCGAGGGCAGCTTCGTTGGCGGAAGTTCGGCGGAAGCAAAGGTGTAACATCAAGGAGACGGTAACGTCGGCGTCCACAGGGTGTCCTGAGTTGGCCAGACGCATCAGGAAAATATAACTGTTGCATACCATCAGACCGGCTGAGGGATCGATTGAGTTGCGTTATGCGTCGTAAGGGTTCACGATCAGACCAGGATTCGGAATATGGTTTTGCCTTCGGCAGGAGACGGACAACCCCATAGCGCTGATGCAGTTCGCTGATGACAAAGTCGCACTGCTGCTGCGCACCCATAGGACGCAGCGCTGCAAGCTTTCACTCTATGCTCCGCACATCCATCTGGAACGAGCAGCGACTCGATCTGATCTCCTCTCTCTCCCCATCAGCCTCGTGTCCTCGCCGCGACTCAGCCAGCAAAGTTGAGCAGAGCGCGTTGCAAACAAAGCTTGCGCCGGCCCAGTGTGTTGGAGCTCAGCGGCGGGAGGGACCAGCGAAGAGGGAGACGGCAGACGGCGAGCAAGGCAAGCCAAAACAAGGACAGGTGGAGCGGGCCGATCGGGACTCGGCCGCTCCGTCGGGAGTCTCTCTGGAGCTGGGCGCGCAGAGCGATGAGGGTGCCCACACTTCCGACGCCAAGCTACGGAGAAGAAGAAGAACTTGCACAGAGGTATAAACTTTCGGGAGCCCGTGCGGACCTCCGAAGTCCGGCCAGAAAGCTGGGTGCACATGCCGCGGCCGGCCTGGACGAGAGCTGGATGCACACACGGCCCTCCTCCTCCTCCTCCTCCTCGTCCTCGTCCTAGATGTCGTTCCAGCTATCGGCCCGTCTTTGGCAGGGTACATGTCGGGTGTTCCGCGCGTGCGTATCTTGCGCGTGGCCTTCGGAGGTTTTCCGCACGGGAGCCCATATCCAGTGGTGCAGCTCTCTGTTGTCCTGAAGCTGAGTGATGGTTCGCCCGGGAAGCGGGAGGAGGGGGAAGGGAGTGTAAGCGGAGGAGGCCGTAGGAGGAGGGCAGCGACGCCGACGGCGACGAGGGCGAGCAGGATGTTCGTGCCTCCCTCCGACGCGCTCATCCGAGCTTCTGTGTTATCCATGCGGCGCGCTGACTTCCCTCCTTTTCCTCCTCCTCTTTCTCTTCCTCATCCGCATCTTCTGACGATGATGATGAGAAGGAGGAGGAGGAGGAGGAGGAGGAGGAGGACGTGTAAGGCGGGAGAGTTGCCTTTTTGCCTGCATGATGTGGTTTCCTTTTCCCTCCCTCCTCCGACTCAATCCTCCTCCCTTCCGTCCCTCCCTCTCTCCTTCTTCTTTTCCTCCCAGGCCGATCCTTCTCGCATCCTTTCTTTCTCTTTCCCCTTCTTCCTCGAACTCGGTTCCTGGACATGGCTAGGGGCGCGTTTTCGAACCAGATGCAGCGGTGGCGACGAGGGTGCAGCCTGAGTCCTCAAATGTGATCCAAAGTGTTTGCCCGCGTGGACCCCGAACAGTGGGTTCTTGCACTCTCGATGTGCAACCCTTGTATGTGCAATATGTGCATGGTGCAACCTATGTCAGTGTTGCAACATGTACGGCGCAATCGATGCGATGCAAACCATGTGGTGCAGCATACGTAGTGCAATCCACCTTGCAGAACTTGAAGTCATCAACTGCACTGCTCGCGCAACCATCCCACCCTCCCACCCGCAACTTGTTTTTCACAGCCCATTCGGCCGCGATTGCGGTGACTATGTGGCACTGGCTGGCGCATCTCTGCGGCTGCGCTAGGGTGCGCTACCTGGTTTGGCATGACCCACCCGGCCACGATGGCGCGTACCGATGGCAAGTTTCCACCGCGTTTCAAAAGCAGCGTTGGCGCGCGGGCAGTTCATTGCGGGTCTGTGACTCAGGCGAGCGGTGTGTCATGATGACGCCGGCAATGGCGGCGACGATGATGATAGTAGCGATGGTAGTGGCGATGATGACGATGGCGACGGCAAGCCCAATGGCGGCGCCGTTGCTGGGGACGACGATGACGACGATGACATCCATGCGTCGGTGATAAAGGTGATCGGTTGATGATGCTGGCAATAGTGGCGATTGACGATGTCGATGAAGGCTGTGCTGCCGCGGTGCTGATGAGGGCGATGGTGAGGAAGTGCGCGCTCGGAAATGCACAACACCCGGCGGACTTTTCATGCTGAACGACGTCTTGATTTTTCACATTTGCTGGAGAGCTCTACTTTGACACGCTTCGAAAACCAATGATGCTGGAAGGAGTTCGACACGCGCGCGTGCGGCCCGAATGCAACAGTTTCGCGCACTGGGCGCATGCTGGATTAACGCAGACGCACCGCGTGGCGGGGTGAGAATGCGGGAGCCAGAAGGGATTGCTAAAGCCTGTCGATGTTTCACAATCTCAGCAGACGCGCGCGGGCAAACGAACCTACGACATCTGTGATGCAACACTTGATGGTGTTCTTGGAGCGCTTGCAGAACTTACGTTCATGGCTTGGTTTCGACAGGTGCGTGCGCGTGTGGATGTTGCGTCATGTGTTGCAAGGGGTCGCGGGGACATGGAAGTAAGTATGCGATAAGCGGGTGTGCGCGCATAGCAATATTTGATTGGGATGAGGTGGAGTTCGATACCCGTCGGCCTGGGATGGCATGAATTCGTGTGGAAAATAAACAATACGGCACAATCATATGTGAATTGCATTTCCCCAAAGGGTAGCGATAAGTCCAGGGGGAGAGGGTGGTAGAGCTTATTCTTCTCTCGAAAGGAGAACTCATACTTGCAAGTAGTGGGTTGCCAACTCCATTGCTCGCGCAAGTGTCCCTCCCTCCCTCCCGCAACTAGTGTTTTTTCAATGACGTGCGGCTACGCTTGCGCATCTTCCGGGCGCTGGCAGCCGCACCTCCGCGGCCGTGCTGTCTTGCGCAAGCTTGCTCGCAGAGCTGCCAGGCGGTTTGCACATCACGTGCGGCCGCGATGGCGTTTGCCGATGAAAACGCCCAAGCGCGTCCCAGACGAGGCCGCGCTGGCGCGCGGGCACTTCAGCGCGGGTCGGCGACTCGGACGGGCGTGGTGCCAGGATGACGCCGACTACGGTAGCATCGGTGATGACAGTAACAATGGTGGGGGTGGTGATGGTGACGAGGACGGTGGCAAAGCAGCTGACGCCGCCGCTGCTGTGGACGACGATAAAGATGATGACGTCCACGCATCGGCGATAAAAGGTGATTGATTGATGATGGCAGCAATGGTGGCGATTGGCGATAACCGTCACAGTGGTGATGCGACGGCGTTGACGAGGTTGATTGTGGAGACATGTACGCGCAGAAGTTCTGGATACTTGGCAGATTGCTTCTTGAAAAACGCGCTACGATTTCATACGTTTCTGAAGAGCTATATTTTGACATGGCCTGAAAACCAATGATATTGCAAGGGCTCCGTATTATTTGATACGGAGTCGTTCGCTTCGCGCGTACGAGGTCAACACAGGTGCACCGCGTGATGAGATTAGAATGCGGGTTCTGGAAAGGATTGCTAAATTCCTCTGGTTTCCCCTTGAGTGCAGTAACTGCGCGCGGGCAGAAAATGCGCAATATTCTCATTGAGAAGGCGAGACAGGTCTTCATGTTTGTATGTAGAAAAGCTTGCAGAACGGGTCGCGCGCGTGCTTTGGTGTTGTCAACCAAGGAGTATTCAAACACATTCGGTGTTGCGATTAGCGAGCGCGCGCATAACATACATTGCTTGACAGGGAAAGGGGGTCGATACCAGCCCAGCCAGGCTGACATGGTGTGGATATATATATATATATATATACACACACATACATACATACATACATATATATATATATATATATATAGATGGAAACTGAAGGGTGGGACAGAGCCAAATATGATTTGCAGTGCCCCAGGGAAGCCCGTTAACCCCAGTGGGAGGGAGTCTTTCTGCTGCAACGACAGTTCATTTGTCAATATTGACATTGCCATCGAGCAAACATCCAACCCATCCACACGCAACTTGTCTGACAAAAACTAAAAGGAATCGGCGACAACGACGATTAATATAACGATTAAGATGTTCATGACGACGGCGAGGACGCTGTCGGTGACGATGTTGGTGAATATGCTGATGGTGATGATAATGGCGGTGGCAATTCCGACGGTTGCGATGAACATGTAAATCGTGTTGGCGGAAAGGTTTAGGAAGTGCGTGCGGGCAGAAATTTGACGAGGGAGGCGACATCGTGAAGATGATGACGACGGTATGGACAGGATTTCGACGTGCGCGCGCGGAGATACGCGCGTGTGGCCTGCATGGTGGTGTTTGACACAGTTGCCGGGTGCGCCATGACTGTTGAGTGTTCTCGACATGCCTTCGCGTGTTGCCCGCATGCCATCCTGTGACAGAGTGGCTGAACACGTGTGGTATTCGAATGGTTCTGGCGTGTGCGCGTGCAGACATTTGTCGACATTGTCGTTGAAGACATCAGGTTTCTTGTGGAAGTGTCTGAATGAATCACTCCTTACAGAAGCCTCAGCCCATGGAGGGCGCGCCCGTGCTGCCGGGCGGCTCTCTCGCGGGGGCGGCGGCGGGAGACGACGCCTCGCTGGCGGGCACTCGGGGGGAGCTGCTGCGGCGCCTCTCTGACCACGAGGAGCTGCTGCAGCGGCTGGTCCTCCTCCTCCTCCTCCTGCTCCTCCTCCTCCTCCTCGTCTCTCCTCGCCCTCCGCGACGCGGCTGGCGCTGGCGCCACACAGAGCGGCGCCAGCGCCAGCCACGTCGCGGAGCGGGCGGCCTCGGCCCAGGCGGCACAGCAGCTCGTGCTCGAGCGCGTGGATCGCAAGGTGGAGCGGATCCTACAAGAGTTCGGGAGGCGGGGGCTCAGCCCCGCGCCTCAGCACCAGTGCTGCGTCGCGGACCGCACTCTCTGGGCCGAGGCCGACGCCGCACTGGGCGTCCTCCGGACCGAGCCAGCCACGCAGCCGAAGCTCGACCAGGCGAGTGTCACCCCACCAGGGCTGCAGGCCCGGAGCCCCAGGGAGGGCCTGCAGGACCCAGCCGAGCCGGTCATGCACCCGCAGGTCGACCAGCCGAGTGTCCCCCCACCCGCGCGGGAGGATTGGGGCCACAAGGAACGCCTGCAGGAGCTGCCGCGTCGGAGCTCCTGGTCTGCTGCATCGACAGAGCTGTCTGCTCAGACATTAAACAAGCTGCCCAGCGACCGAGGGCTTCTCGGGAGGGCCACGGGCAGCCAGGCATTCGATGGGCTGTGCGCATTCGTGATCCTGCTCAACGCCGTTGCCCTCGGTCTGGAGGTGAACTTCGAGATGGTGGACGCTCTCGATGAACCTGGGAGCGATTCCGAGTGGAATCCTCCTGTGTGGCTGCGCGTTCTACAACTGTCATTTATCGCGTTCTACATGTTGGAGCTGTCCCTGAGGTTTGCTGCGAACAGGAGTCAGTTTTTTCGAGGAGTCGATAGGCATTGGAATATGATGGATTCTTTACTTGTGGTCACGGCAGTATACGAGGAGGTTTCTAAGTCTGCCTCGGTAGAAACTGGTGCAAACGACCTGTCATTCTTGCGACTCTTGCGACTCCTGAAGATGCTGAAGATGTTCAGGGTATTTCGTCTGCTGCGCTTCTTTCGCGACATCCGAACCATGTTGGCAACGTTGATGGGATCCTTTATGGCCCTGTTCTGGGCCTGCATCATGCTGGCAGTCATCCAGTACGCACTCGCACTTGTGTTCCTGCAGGGTCTATCGACATATGTGCGTGAAACGCCGCTCGACGAGATGGGCCCAAAGACCATCAACAATATTGCGACACAGTGGAATTCAATTACAGAGGCAATGCTCACATTGTACAAGGCGACCTGTGGTGGCAAAGATTGGGCTGACCTTTCGGACCCTATCCGTGAAGCGAGCTCCTCGAACTTTTACGTGTACTACATCTTGTTCTTACTATACATTGCGTTCTTCATTGTATCGGTCATGAATGTGCTCACTGGAATGTTCGTAGATAGTGCATCCAAAATCAGGGACAAGGACAATGAAGACATGATCGATCTTGTCATTGAGGACTCTCGTTCCACGATCGGGCGGTTCAAAGAGTTCGTGCTGGACAAGATGGCCGACCGTGGCGCTCCCGACGGGCAAGGCTTCTCCTGGGACGTGATCCAAAGGTTCCGCAACTCAGTACCGGTCAAGGAGCTGCTCCGCTCTCTGCAGCTCGAGCTCCCGGAGGCCCGGAACATCTTCAAGGTGTTGCAGATGGAGACCGGCGACTACCTCGAGGATACCGTCGACGTCGACGAGTTCATACACCTGTGCGAGGCCAAGCTGAAGGACTCCAACATCGTCCTGGCCACCGTGGCCTACGAGTGCAAGCAGCTCAACATGAAGGTGCACCGCCTGGCGTGCGCCGCGCAGGCCGGCGCCCGCGCCCGCGGGGCCGCGCCGAAGCCGCGCTAGCCGCCGACGGCTGCAGCGGTGCGCAGCGCTCGCCAGCACCGCAGAGCCCCGGAGGTCGCGTCGGAGAGGCAGCCGCGCCGAGGGATCCCGTCCTGTCGGCCCGAGGGCTTCCTCGGAGCGTTTTCGGGGAGGGTCCTTTTCTAGAGGCGCTGCCCAGCCACGGGTTCGTGCAGCTGGCTTGGGCGCTCTCCCCCTCCTCGGGGTTGGTCTGATGCTTCTCCTCCGATCTGCGGCGCCCGGCGCCTTGCTCCTGCGGCCGATGGTGCTTCTGCCTCGTTGTCTGGCTGGCGCGTGCACGCTGGCTTGTGGGCAACAGTCTGAGTTTTCTGTGGAGGAGCACTCTCCTTCTCCTCGTCAGGGCAGTGTCTGGGCCCCCTTGCGATGCGGGCGCGTGCCAGGCCTGCGTGCAGCTCCCGTTCGCAGTCCTCTGCCGGCCGACCGTTCTCGCGACGCCCCTGCGGCAGCGTCGGGGCTCGGGGCCGTCGGGAAGAGGACGGGCAGAGGAGGAGGGACAAATATTCAAAACATGAAGAAGGCCGTGCAGGCGCGACAATCGTCACAATGAATGGTCGTGGACGGCGAGGGTAGTTGTGAGCGATGTTGGCAAAAGGGGCTTCAGCTGTGCGGACAGTTGCGCGTCAGTTGCTGCGCCAGGTTGCTCTCGATACAGGCTCACAGCAGTACGGCCTCGCAGCGGCAGTTTGGCGCAGATTTGTTCGGAGAACTCGATCGAAGACGCATACTTCGAATCGCCGCCGCTCCCTGCCTTTTTGGAAGCGCCTATGTGGCCGACCGTTTTGGCCATGGCTCGGTCAAGTTACCGGACTATATGTTCCCCCAGCCGCTGTAAAAACGTTTTCGGGGAACACGTGGGGGAGAAACATGAAGAATATTCAGATGACGATGATGATGTTGATGATGATGATGTTGATGATGATGACGATGATGTTGGTGATGGTGATGATGATGTTGATGACGATGACGATGACGATGATGATGATCATGATCATGATGATGATGATGACGATGATGATGATGATGATGATGATGATGATGATGATGATGATGATGATGATGCTGATGCTGATGCTGATGCTGATGATGATGATGGTGATGGTGATGGTGATGGTGATGGTGATGGTGATGGTGGTGGTGGTGGTGATGCTGATGATGATGATGATGGTGATGATGGTGGTGGTGGAGAAGAATAAGAAGCAGAAGAAAGTCGTGTTCCTGCTAAGTGGTCTTCTGTTCTGCTAAGTGGTCTTTCGGTGTGCGTGCTTGATCATGTTGGCCTTTCGGTGGCCTCCTCCTCCTCCTCCTCTCCCCTCCTCCCACTCCTCTTCCTCCTCCTCCCCCTCCTCCTCCTCCTCCTCCTCCTCCTCCTCCTTTTCTCCCTCCTCCTCCTCCTCCTCCCCCTCCTCCTCCTCATCTTCCCTCGCCAGCGGCTCTGTCCCCATAGCGGGGGTTGGGGCGGCGCATCCTCAGGGCCGCGCAGCCGCCCCGGGCCATGTCGGGAGCCTCGGCATGAACGAGGACCAGTTTGACAAGGAGGTCGAGCTGTACGTGTCCTACAGCTTGGCGCGTGGAGAGCCAGACCACCTTGGTTCTGTGCTGGGGCGCTTGTTCAAGGGCCTCGAGTCGGGGTCGCAGCAGGCGCTCAAGTGGAAGCTCATTGTCTGCCAGGATGGCGCAGCAGCACGAGAGCAGCAAGGAGGTGATGAACAAAGCGCTCCAGTGCCCTTGTACGCGGAGCATCGCCTTGAAGGAGCAGTACGAGGCAACAGTATTGTCAAGTCGGCGTGCCAGGCTTCGAACTCCTCCACGCAGCAAGGTGCCCATGATGGTGGCCGAGCTCAGCCGTCGGGAGGCAGCGAAAAGGCAGTCAGCCCGCGAGGCCTTCGAGCTGGAGAAGGCAAAAGAGGGCCAAGAAGCGGGAGGAGGACCACGTGTCGGAGGCGGGCCAGGCCCTGGACCAGGCCAGCCTGCAGCGGGGACCTCCACGGGAGGAGACCACATCGCACAGAAGAAGCACGACAAGCAGAAGAACAGGAAGGACAACAAGATTTGGGTCCCGAAGTGGAAGTGCCTGCGGCCCAGCTGCAAGCGCGTGAACTTCGGATGGCGCCAGCAGTGCGGCCAGTGCACTGCAGTGGCACCCCTGGAGACGCTGAGCTTGCAGGAGCAGCAGGCGGTGGAGAGCCTCACGGACCCGCAGGAGATTCAGCGCCACCAGGATTTCAAGGACTGGGAAGTTAAGTGGCTTACGGGCCTGGCGGAGCAGCAGTCCGACCTGGACAAGATGATCGGGAGTGCTGCCCCGTCCAGCCGACCTCCTACAAGTACTATATTGGCGATGAGGAGTCGGACAGCAGTCGGGGCGAGGAGCTCGAGGACGCCGTCTGCTTCATCAACGCCAAGCAGCTGGTCAACATCCAGGGCATGATCTTTCAGGCGTGGGCTGGAGCGATCAGCGGCAAGACCAAGAAGGGCAAGCAGAAGAGCAAGGGCCCCGTGAACGCCGCGGGCGCTGGAGGCGGTCCTCACCACAAGGCGAAAGCCAAGGAGAAATATTACCTTACAGAAGGGGTCACACCCAAACAGATCAGGATGCAGTTGCAAAGCCTCTTGGAGAGTGGCGAGTCCCCAGAGGTCAAGGCTGCTGCGCTTCGGGATGTTGCTAAGCGCATGGGAATCTCGATCGAGTGATCTCTGGGCGCGAGCTGAGAGGCGTGGGCCGGCTCGGTGCGTGTGGGTCCCTCTCGCCGCCACGGCCGTCTCTGCCTCGTGGTTTGGGGGCGGCTGCCGTTGGGTGGCCGCCGGGTCTCTGTCGTCGCCACGGCTGGATCCGCCTCGTCTGTCCTGCCGTGCTGGTCTTCTGTCGCCGCGCTGGATTCCCTTTGATTCTTGCTGGGCATAGGCTCAGCACGGGGTCTCGGCGTAGGCCCGAGGTTCCTTCGGCTAGGTTGCTTCGCGCGGGCCTGTTCTCCTATGCACGGGCGAGAGGCCGGTCTGAAGTGCCATTTCTGTGCGGGCATCTGTGGAGCTGCTCGTGCTGCGCGTTTTGTTTTCCCTGGGTCTCTGGCGTCGCTCGTCGCTGTGCTGGGTTCCCTTTGATTTGTCCGCCGTCGGGCGGTGCTTCGCAGTCTTGTGGTCTCGTCGCCATGCTGGATCCCCCTCGCTTGCGCTGGGCAGTGGCCTGGCACTGCGCTTCTCGGCGTAGGTCCGAGATGCGCGCCCAGGTGGCAGGCCTTGCAGACCAAGGCGTTTCATCAGACCCCTCAGATCCATCTTCCCTCGCCCCCAGACCTCCGACGTCGCAACGGCCCCAGCTTGGTCGTTTTTCGGCGGCCCCCAGACCCAGAAACGGCCCCCGGATGCCCAGGCGGAGGAACACATTCGAGTTTCGTTTTTGTCGAGACGTCGGAGGTCCGGGCTACCCTCCTCCTCTTCCCCCCCCCATCTCCTCTTTGTCCTCTTCCTCGTCCTCCTCCTCCTCCTCCTCCTCCTCCTCGTCCCCCTCCTGCTCCTCCCCCTTTCTTCCTCTCGGAGTCCTTGGGGGGTGCTGTTTTGGGCCTGGGGTCCTGGCCCGTCCTCCGTCTCGCTTGCGGTGCCCTTTTCTGGTCGGCCCGCCGACCAAAAAGGGCACCGTGAGTTTTGGGCTGGCCTCTGGGCTGGCCTCTGGGCTGGCCCGCGCGCCGAGGCCAAGGTCAGTCCTCGAGCCTCGATCCTCGACGACGACGACGACGTCGCTGCCGCCGCCGCCGATCGCCGCCGATCGACGCCGCAGCTGATCGATGTTTTCGTCGATTTTTCGTCGGAGTCCGAGGTTCGAAGTTCGATTCGTGTTTTCGCCATGTTCGAACCCCGGGGGGCCGCTTTTGAGCCACAGGACCATCAGAAACGGATCCGGGATGAAAAATCACCCACGGGAAGAAACCCCGGCGTCGTCGTTGTCGTCGCCGCCGCCGCCGCCGCCGCCGCCGCCGCCGCCGATCGTCGCCACCGCCGCGCCGCTGCCGAGGTCAGGAGGGGGCAGGATGCAGGTGTTTGACGCTCCTCGATCTCTTTGGGCCTCCCGGCGCCCGGAGCGCCCTCGTCGCCGCGGCTGGACTCGCCTCGGGATTCTGGCCAGAGCGCACCCCGGGACAGGCCCGGGAGGGCCTCCTCCTGCCCCTCCTGCCCCTCCTCCTCCTCCTCCTCCTCCTCCTCCTCCTCCTCCTCCCCCTCCTCCTCATCTTCCTCCTCCTCCTCCTCCTCCTCGTCCTCTTCCTCCTCCTCCTCCTCCTCCTCCTCCTCCTCCTCCTCCTCCTCATCATCATCATCATCATCATCATCATCATCATCATCATCATCATCATCATCCTCATCCTCATCCTCATCCTCATCCTCATCCTCGTCCTCGTCCTCGTCCTCCTCGTCGTCATCCTCGTCATCCTTCGCCTCCTGCTCCTCCTCGTCCTCCTGCTGCGTTCCTGCTTCTCCTCCTCCTCCTCGTCCTGCTCCTGCGCCTCCTCCTCCATCCCTTTCTTCTTATGAATAACTCCTCCCTGTCTCAGTCCCCAGCGTGTCTGTAGGCCGGGCCGGGCGTTTCGCCTGAGACTTCTTTCCAATTTAGGATCGCCGAGCTTCAAAATTGCAACAGTTACACGGATGGAGGGCGGGTGGTTTTCCAAATGTGGCTCTCGCCTTAGCGCCGCGCACATTCGTCTTCGACATTTCCAACAGTTACAAGGATGGAGGGCGGGTGGTTTTCAACATGTGGCTCTCACCTTAGCGCCGCGCACGTCCGTCTTCGAAATTTCCAACGGCTACAAGGACGGAGGGCGGGTGGTTTTCAAAATGTGACTCTCGCCTTAGCGCCGCGCACATTCGTTTTCGAAATTTCCAACAGTTACAGGGATGGAGGCCGGTTCCCTTTTCCAAATGTGGCTCTCGCTTTAGCGCCGCGCACATTCGTATTCGAAATTTCCAACAGTTGCAAGGATCGAAGCCGGTTC